ATTGCAGGAGGAATAACAGGTAGTTTGAAATAGGGCTTTATTTTGAACTCCCGTTTCACTGCCACGTATTTACGCGGGCAGTTATTCCGAGCTTGTAAATTTCAAAAAATGGCGCCCGGCTGGGAACATTCAAATCAAGCATGGGATATTTAAATCCTGGTCTTGATTTGCAATTCCAAATGCCTACATTTGTATCTCTATTTCGAATTAGGCTGCAAGTATAGACCTACCCTTACAGAAGGACATACAATAGCTCCTCCCCACTTCAAATCAAGGATATTTAAATCCTGGGCTTGATCTGCAATTTCAAAAGCCTACATTTGCAGCCCTATTTCGAATTAGGCTGCAAGTGTAGACATACCCTAAGAGTCATCTTTCCCTGGTGTGGGGCGGTTCTCTTTTCACTGCAGCTCCCATGAAATTTCCCCACCTCTTGAAGCAGGAGAGTGGCATTTCTGTATTTTAATAGCTTTCTAGGCTGAGGTCAAAGCACAGGCATTTGCAAAGTAATTTAATAGGAAGACAATGGAAATTATTTACTAATGCTCAAGGGATGGGAGGAGGAAGAGGAAAATAGGTTGCACGCTAGCTCTAAACTATCGTGATATCTTTGCATTAACCACATGATTGGTAGTCCTATTTTGTCTCAGTTGTGTTCAGAGGAGTCACTGGATAATTTTTAGTGAAAGTGAAGCTGAGGTGTTAGTGAAATACATGTTTGCAATACAAGACAGAATACTATAAAAATAGAAATAGTAAATGGATTTTTTTTTAAAATTCAGAATGCTTATGGGAATAGTAATAGATTAACTAGTGAAAATTATTTGGTATGATTTATGTAACTGTGACTGTACATATTTACCCAAAATATTTCAATGTATACAGAAATAGAGAAAGAAAATGGAAAATTATTTAAATGTGGAAACAAATGAAAATTACCAGAAATTTACATACAATATGAAGAAAAGTCCTTTTATGCTCTGCAACTCTAGCATTTGGCAGATTCAGGAATAAATAATCTTTTGTGGCAAGGGTATGCCTTATCAAACATATGCAGATAAGCACTAATTAATGCTAATTAAGGTTTCCTGTCTATCTAGTTGGAAAAATGTCCAAATGTTATGAAATCCAGTTAGTATGCCTATTACCCTAATTGTTTTATAGGGGATGGTTCTTAATTAAAATATGTAAATTGACCTTAATTGCTATATACTAATGGGGGTTCATGTTATCTATCTAAAAGTGACAAGATGGTGAGGAGGGGTACTTAAACAAATAATTCTGATAAATCCTTCACCGACTGACCTTTATTCAAAATTATTTTTAATTAGAAATTGGCAAAAGAAGCATTTTTCCATCTATGATTCTCTTTAATTTTAAATGATGTCAGAATATTACAGATCTTTGTTAATACAGATATAAGGCAGTTGTGAATTGTAGCTTAATTATTCCTAACAAACAAGTTAATTTTGTATTTGTTTACTGTTTGTTATGAAATAGTATGATGATCTTGCATTAATCTGAGAGAAAATGATGTTTTACAACATTGAGTTTGAATTTGTAGCTATTCTTTCTCGCCCCGTCATTATTATGTTGAAGTCTGATGTACTGGTACTGCTAATACCCAGGGGCACTTTCTTTTGATGGTTGGAGCTTCAGTGTTGCTATTACATGCCTGAACCACTTTTTTCATATAGACCCCCTTTGACTTCAGTGGAGCACAGAATTTAGAGTTTGCCTTTCTGGGATGCAGAGCTGTGGTTGGGTGCATGCAGTTGCAGCATTGTGGCCTACATGAAAGTTTTTTTCAGTACAGTCATACATCACTTCTGCTTTAAATCAAAATCATACCATTTAAATAATACTTTGTATGTGATTTTCTTATGTTGTTTAAATATCTTGTAGTGGTATGTTTGCACTTTAAGAGCAAAATACGTCCTTGCAGTCTAGATTGAAAAAATAAAACAATAGAGAACACAAATACAATTATGATGAGAATTAGAGAGAGACCACTTTATGTGCATGTATCCTTTTTCACAGGCTGCATTAACCCTGAGAACAAAATGGCTGCTGAACTTGCAACCCAAAGAGAAATTTAAAGACATAGGACATAGAAAACAAAAGGCATTACAGTCTTGTATCTCTATATACCACAATGAACTGGCATAAATATTGTGAATGTGCATTCTCTACAAACAAAAGACTGGTGAAGGCACTTATATATACCAGAGTGACTTCACCCTCTGCATGCTGCAGTGGGGGCATAGCTAGGATACAGAGGAACTCTTGTGAGCAGTCTAGGTTCAAGGCCTTTGGATCCATAATTACAGAGATACAAAACTCAGTATACCCAAATAGGAGGTGCAGAAAGTCGCCGAACATTATTGTAGTCTATATGCTAGAGTAATGTTTACAAGCTGCACCTTTGTTTGGGGGAATGGATTCCACAGACACGCTCAGACATGGTTTAGTCAGTTTCACCCTTTGGACAAGATACCACAACCTTGTGCATGTAAGTAACTTACAGATAATAGGCTACCGGATAATGCAGAGGAAACCATGAAACTGACTCTGTATAATGCACTGACAAATGTGTGTTGCCTTCTCTGCCAGTTTGGGGAGGATGGGTTGTGACAGCCTCTAGCTATAGAGTCTTGTTCCTTAGCTCAGGCACCTCATGCTTTTAGCTCTGGAGATCACCTGTTCAATCCCCAGTGTGTTGGCCAAGATAACAGCCATCATGTAAGTGTGGGCTCATCTAGGATTTATGTGATAGCCACCATCTTGACTGACACACCAGGGATTGAATCAAGGACTTCCAAAGCTAAATGCATGAGCTGCTACAGCTTGAGCTAAAGAGCCAAAGCTTTGTTGCTAGAATCTGTAACAACTCATAGTTTCTGTGATCAGCATGGGCAGGAGAAGATCTGCAACTTACCAATGCACAAAGCAATCAGACTGGGGAGGGGGGGGGAAAACAACATATTTTTTACTCCAGCCTCTAATCTTATGTGTTACGTATAATAAAAGTACATATAACCCTTTTGGATGGAAGTAGGTTTTTAAATGGATGTTTTCCCTTTCATTAATATGTTGTAGCATATAAATAGACTGTAGGAATGTGGCTTTTGTGTTTTTACTTTGTAAGTCAATCTGAAAGGTATTTTTATTGTTTTAACAGGACATTGTAACCAATGTTTCTCCAAGAATTATACGTGGAATTACATCGGGCCCCATATATGGCCCAGGTCAAGGCTCTTTCTTAAACATTGAGCTCATCAGTGAGAAAACTGCAGAATATTGGTGTAAAAGTATCACTTACACCAATGTCTAGCTAACCAGACATACTCCTCTGCTTTTTCCTTCTTCCCTGACCTTGGCTTTCTTAGTTACAATTTATTAAACTTTTTATCATGCCTTTGGTTTGTTATCTGTAGTTTCTTGTACTCAAGGCCACGAGGCCCCATTTTGCTTAGAAATCATATTGCTTATGAATATGTATGTAACCTGTGGAATGTGTGTGAGGTGTGAATGAGAACTATCCAACCAAAAAAGCAGTTTAGGATCTCTGACCTTTTAAGGCAAAGACCCTGCAAGCAGATAAATTAACTGAGAAATGGCCAGAAAATCCCTCTTCCCCTCCCCTCCCCCCCAGACGAGATGTAACATCATATCAGAAACCTGGAATGGGCCAGGAGGAAGTAAAGTCTCCTATAGATTCGAAGGGATCTTCCAAGGAACATCATGGTCAAGTCTTCAGGAAGCTGATGCCTGGCCAGTACTTCAGCCACCAGCAAAATCAAAAGTAATGTACACCGCACTTGCAGCCTACCTCCGAACTGCCAGCGCGAATGTGATGTGTGTATCACTTTGCTCTTAAGAATCTGTGCCAATAAACAACCCCAAAAGCAATACTGCTCCAGCCCACCTTTTGCCTGGGTTTGCTCCTCAGAAGGTCCAAGGAAGTGCAAAAGTATTGAGCACATACAGTAGAGTCCCTATCATCCAATGTAAACGGGACCGACACATGGTTGGATTACCGAATATGTCGGATGATAGGGACTGCTGCCAGGGAAGAAGCGGCCCTGGCAGCAGCAGCCGTCCCTGTGCTCTCTAGGAGCAGCTGATGGGGCTCCTGCCTGGGCTGCATCTTCCCTGGCAGCAGCACATCAGCTACTTCTAGAGAGCATGGGGACAGCTGCTGCCGCCAGGGAAGAAGCGGCCCTGGCAGGAGCCTCAGCAGCAGCTCCAGGGCACGGGGCAGGAGAACAGCCCCACTCGCTGCCCCGTTGTCCTGGGCAGGAGCAGCAGCAGCTGCTCCAAGACGCCGGGGGTAGCAAAAGGGGCCGTTCTCTCCGCCTGCGCTGTATCCAACCCTGCAGCTCCCAGGGACAAAGTCCCCGGGAGCTGCAGGGTCGGATAAAGCGGAGTGTCGGATAATCCAGATAAAGGGAGTGTTGGATAATCCAGATAAAGCGGAGTGTCGGATAATCCAGACTCCACTGTACTCTTATCCTAAGGAACCATTCAAGGTAGGATGACCCACTAGAATATGTGCTCCTTACACTAAATCTGTTTCACCTTGCATTTAGCCCTATTGCTCAGGGTAGATTCCCAGATCCAATGAAGAGCTCTGGTGAGGCTCCAAAACTTGCCTCTCTCACCAACAGAAACAGGCAAAATACAATGTTACCTTGCCCAGCCCACTGTACCAATCTTGTTAGTGGTCTGAAAGGAAAGGCAACAGGATGAATAAGGTAAGGGACTGAAATCGGCTCATCCTTAGTTTGATCGGCTCATCCTTAGTTCTCTGCAACAGGTTGGTAGAAGTGTGCAAGTGATATTAAGGCTCTGGCTGTGGCACAGCCCTGTCTGGTGAGTGATACTGCTCACAGTACTGCCAGCTAGTGCTCCGTGCTCTCCTTAAACCTCCTCCCACAGCCAAGGAATGACATGAGCAGCTCCATTTTTTCGGCTGTTTTGCTTTTTAAGTGTCTCACCCCTGGAGCTGCAGACAGAAGCTTGGCAGCAAGTGCCCCCCACTAGCTCAGACACCGGATGGGAAACAACAGGCACCCGCTTTATTGTTCCACTCGCAAGTTTTCGGGGCTCGAGGTCTCGTTGCGTGTGAGGTGCGGGCTCGGGGACACGGCCCTGGGGTGGGGGCGGGCAGAAGTAAACCCTGGGGCCGAGGCCGGGCGCCGTGTCCCGGGGGCGGGGCGCCACCACCCCCTTGCTCGAAGCGGCACCTCAGAGCCTCGGGACCCCGCGGGGGGAGGGGGGAGGGGAGGACTGTCCTGGCGCGGCAATGGGGTGTCTGCGCAGCCCGGGCGGGGGAAGGGCCACCCCGCAGCTGGGCCGCGCCCTGCCCGTTGCCTAGGATTCCAGTAAACAAAGACGGACGCGGCGGGAACATGACACCCGCCTCTCCCCCGCTACGG